GCATCAAGCAATAATCAAAATTTAACACTAAATAGATCGTAAATAAATACAATTAGGCATCATCTGGATGATTATATTCAAAGTACTACCGGTATTAAGGCAGACATCTTTTATTGGAAACCAAACGAATTACCTAAACCTCATACATTATGAAATAAGATTACGCTTCTTCAATCACATGGCTGATGATAACAAAGGGTATAAATAATCTTTGATGATAACCTCAGCCAGACTTCACAGAGCAGCTATAATTAACAACATGCATCTCAATGAGCAACATCTTGAAATTTACAAAAAAACAAACAAACAAATAGGTCTCACAGCAAATTTTGAAACCTAATTAAATGAAATAATAAAGAAAGCAACTCCTTTACTACCATTTATTTACCGAACGAGCCAGTCGGCTTCTGACCTACTTTTCTTCGTATCGGCGGCGTACAAAGAGTCAAATGACTTTGTGTCTGGTAACCTCAGTGTCTATGTCTACCAGGAGGAGCCTGGAATTGGGAACGTTTCTCACTGAATGTAGTAGACGGTAAGGATTGTTATTTCATAGGCAACTAGTAATGGGCCTCTATCAAACAATTTATTTCGTTCTTAACAAAGTATCAGCAGAAAGTAAGCAAAATGATTGTTTAATCGTGTTTGAAATAATATAAAAATTAATTTGTATATAAATAAATATTTAAAGCTTAAATTTTAAACGTGGAATTAATAAAGTGCAACAATTTAATTAATTGGGTAATTTAATCTATAAGATGTATAAACAAAAATATATACATATATACAAAAAAAACAAAAAACGTAACAACAAAAACAACATCAGTTAAACCGAACTAACTGGTAGTAGGCCTTCCAATTACGAAACTATATTTCGCGGAGTAACATCCGGCTTGCGAGTAAGGTAAGTTGAGTCCATTGCAAGTTGTAAACCAATCAGAATGCTGGGATATTACATCATTCAGGGCAACTTGCAATGTTTAACATATTATGTTACTCCGCGAAACCTTTGTAAACACTAGAACATGTGACGATGTTCTCTGGCGATTAATACTGAAGTTTCGAAGTTGGAAGGCGTACCAGTTTTTTTTTTTTTTTTTTTTTTTTAAATAATTCACAAGAAAAACAACCATTGAACAAGAAAATGAAACTATAGATTGTTAAATATGTAGGTATAAGATACTTTGCTGAAGTTTTTTTAAATAATTCACAAGAAAAACAACCATTGAACAAGAAAATGAAACTATAGATTGTTAAATATGTAGGTATAAGATACTTTGCTGAAGTTGTACAGGCCCAGGCCTAATTTTCTAGGCTACATTATAACCTAAGAAGTGTCGCCGGCCGGCTGTGTGATGCCAATTTTTCGGGCTTAAAACGAAGCCTAAATGGCCTTTGACAAGTGGGGAGCTGGAATCTCAGCACTCCCGAAATGTTGGTGAAAACTCTGGAACTCTGTTTAGGTTGAAATTATTATGTGTAAAATGATTTAGAGTTATCTCATAAAGACAAAATTCCATCCACGCATATTCAAAATACGTCTGCCAATTTCCGCGCAAATGTTGCAGTAAAGTCGGCCGGTAGCTATTGTAACCAATGTGTAGGCGTTCGCAGTGTTAATGCGATTCTGCTGACCTATTTCTCGAAATTTCCTGCACAAATGAAGAAAAATACTGAAAAATTTAAAGGAAGTGTACAGAAAATATAATTAATGTTTCAGTAATAATAATAAATAATTTTATAATCAATATATCAATCCACTTAAGTAACTGCAGATTTCGGCAGTCCATTGACTAGACAGTTTAGCTAGCACATTATTACTACTCATGTTTTTCTTTTTTATATTGTGTATATCTGTTAATAATAATTAACAGAAATTTGTAATTTTCTTAGAAATATTCCTAACAATTCCTTTTTCATTTTTGATACTTACCTGTCTTTTAGTTTTTTCATTGTCATTTTCTTTCCACTATTTTTTCTTTCTTTTTTATTCCTTTCCTTCCTTTTGTTATTTCTTATTTATTATTTTTCTTGGTTTTTTTTTTTCAATTTTTAAAAATCTCTTCTCTTTTTCTTTCATGTCTTCTTTCTTGCATAATAATCCATGGGGACAGTGTAGGTGTGGGTGGGTGGGGGTTTGTTAGGAAATATAAAGATTATATCTTAGGGGATGCGAAAAGGATGGGGAAATATGTGCTACTAAAAAAATTACTTGTGCTACCAAATTTTTTTGGGGGTGCCAGAAAATTTTGGCAGTGATACCAAGAAAAAAAGTTAATTTCCAGCCCTGTGTCTCTTTTTTTTTAAAAATGATTATGCTGTCTATTTTAGTTGTTTGTACCTTGATTACTTTCATAGTTATTGATGCCTTGGTTGTTGGATTAGATTTACTTCACAACTCAACAAATGGAAAGAAATTCACATCAACATGTATTTTACTCTTTAGTAATCTTGGTGCACCATTCAGTGATGATAAGATAGACTCTCTTGTTAATGGTATTCAGAAGATGAAAACAGATGTAAATTTGATGTAAGTTGTAATGTATTTTATCTTTCAAGAAAAATATGGAGTAGAGTTTAAAGCTTGCCTTCCAATCTCAGGTCCTGGGTTCAATTCCTGGCAGTGTTGGAGGATCGTGATTAAACTCCATTATGGCTAAGGTTGAGGTGCCACTGCCTTGACCGCTTCCTGTTAATAAAGCACGGCCTTAAACATTTTCTGCATTGCTCACATTTTTTATGAACTGCATACACCATAACAAACCAATTAGGATGTAGTTATCTTTTATTATTATTTCTTTATTAATTTTTAATATCATGTTTGCTTGATGTAAATTATTATATTTTCTCTTTGGTTATGTTGGTTCCTTACCCATAATCTGGTACTGTTTTTTTTTTTTTTTAGTGGGCCTAATTTAGATGAAGGTGACGAGACTAACGGTGATGAGAACCGTCCGAGTACATCTAGCGGCAGAGGCAGTGGAGGTTATACAAAACAGAAAACACCCCAGCAGAGAGCTGGAGCAGCCCTAATGAAGCACTTTTTGCAGGAGATAGATGGTGGTTGTTATGAATTCAGGTATAATTGGTATTGAAAAGTCTAAACTATAGACGAATCCAAGAAGAATTGCACCCTCTGTTGTTGACACCATTACTGGGGAGTCCAGGAGTCGTCCCTACACCTAGACCTACTTCTGAAAATGTTAGTGTGGTGTGGTTATAAACATATTACCATTGAGAAATCTAGCTTTTTATTTTGCAGCTGAATAATGCCGTCAGTCTTCAAACTAAAAATTTATCAAAGTTAAGTATATTTCATGTATTTTAAACATCTTACAACTTCGGAAATGCCAGCCCAGTAATGGCGTCGACAAAAGAGGGCGACGTTCAAAAAAGTTCTCTTGGATTCGTCTTTATGCCTATTAAATATATTAATACATGGCATTTTTTATGGACAAGTCAATAAAATGAATATTGCATAAGTTCATTTGATTCAATGATAATATGCACATGATGTTATTTATTTTTTTTTTTTTATTTAAAAAAAAGTCTTGAAATAGAAAGTCTTTTTCTGTTTATGACACCTGTCCGCAAGGGTGTTAATGACAATTACTTATGTTGTACAGTAGTAGGTGATTTGATCAGAAGTTTATGGCCCTGTCACAACTTGATGATTTAGCCAGTGTATGCCAATGTATTAAAAATTGGCGAATACGCTGGAATACGTAGAATAAGTTATGGCTAAATTTTGTAAGAGCATGTAAAGAGCATGCTGGTATATTTTTAGTACAGCTAGGTTGTCAAAAAATTTTGTGCATGCACACTATTTTTTATGTATCTCAGCGTATGCCTCATATGTCTCGCATACGCAGGCCGTAAGTTGTAGGTAGGTTGACACACGTTCTCACACTTTACTTGTAAGCTACTCACAAGTCAAAATTTGTCAAGATATGGTGTTTTAGACTAATGTTGTGACTTTCATTGTTTATTGGTTAATGTCCAGGGGAAGATTTTATTTTCCAAAAGGGGGTGGGGGCTGGCGATAGATCAGTGCCCTTCCCCCCCCCCTCTTTAATACACCACTGAGGTGTAATGTTATTTGTACTGTTTTAAATGTGATTTTATGTGTGAAGTCATATTGTGATTTTATATTAAACCTTTCTAGTAGATGAAAGGTCAAGAAGAATTGTAAAATGTAACCACTTATTTTTGGATCATAAAAAAGTAGCTACACACTATTTGTTGTACTGTTTTATTTTGAATGAATTTGTTAAAGTTAATGAATTTCAGTTGTAATTTGATTTTCCATCACAGTGGGCTAATGCCAATGATACACTAAAGATTGAGTTCAATCAAACAAGTATTTTGTTGTTTCCTGCTCCTGGCATTTTTTAACTTTCTTGTGTTTAAAAATAATTCTTCAAATAATTTTTGTGTGTGGTCACCACTGGTTGGCTTGTCCTTTTGACTTTTTCGTCAGAAATATTGAGAATACTTCGCAGTTTTTTTGTTTTTTTTTATTATCCCAATGACTAGGGTAATAATATGGCAAAGCACTTTTACTTACAGTAAACATATTATTAATAAAGCAACCATCTAAACAAAAATTAGTCCCATTTCAATTACCTATACGTTCCAACCAGTGCTGTAGCCAGCTATTGGGACGGTCACATAACATTTTTTTAATGGGTCCACATTTTTAAAAATGGGTCCAAATTATTCAATTTCATGCATAAAATGAGTCCATATTTTGAAAAATGGGTCCAGATTTCCCATATTTAGCATAAAATGGGTAAAACTTAAGAGGGCATTGGTCCAGATTGTTCATATTTTTGCGTAAAATGGGTCAACTTTTAAGAAAATGGGTCTACCCTGATATTGTCTCGCATTGTTTGAAAATCTTGCCTACAGCTTTATTTCCAACATTCCAATTTTATCCTGAATTTCATGAATTACTTCCAAATTTTAAGAAAATACCCCAAATACCTATGTAATCATTTGAAATACCCAAAGTGGCTAATTTAGTGGCTTTTTGGTGCCAATATTTGAGTATTTCTGTGTCAATTTTTCCTTTGTGCACCGACTTTATCAACAATGTCGAAACACAATGTCTTCTGAGCGTTGCTAACACTTTGAAATATCAAAATGCATGTTTGGAAAAAACTTTGATTTTGGGGTTGGGGGAAACTCTGCAGTGCACCTTGAGTCTCCCGAATTTTGTGTTCTAGGGGTTGGAACATCTGATATACCATATTTATCAATTGTACATAAAATGATGTTTATTTTCTTATTTTGCTGTCCTAGAGATATAATACCTATGCTAAGTTATTTTGATAAGCGGGAAGTCAGAGCAACGCCTTGGAAATGCACACTGGATATTGGAGACAACTTAAAGATAGCTTGTTCTGGTTATGTCAAGGTAATATTTGTTAATTATAATACAGCTGTACAAATTTAATCTCTTATATAAACATGCATCTATCTGAATATAGTAGAACCCCCACTTTGGGAACGCCCTATTCAGAGATGTTTTTAAATTTTTAACATATTGAGGGTGCTGTAACCCATGTGCTCCCACAATGCATTTGGACGATTTCATGTTTTAGGCGAAGAGCGCGTTCTTGTGTTGTAGGTTCTTTGGTCAAAGTGTTAATCGCCACAACTTTTGTCATAATAATGCTAGAATTGTTCTTTCAAAATTATTGTGATAAAAGAAGACGACAATTCATATTTTTTTGTGTTGTTTTCCAGACTCAAGAAGGAAAGTTGAAGAAATCTTGGGGCTCGATATATATGAAAAGCAAAGAAAAAGAGTATACACCTCAACTTGTGTCGTCCTACCATCTGAACAATGATGAAGAAACAGAAATAGTAAAGGATGACATAGTAGATGGTTAGCTCATAAGTTTAGTAGTTTTTTGGACAACCTCAGTCTATACTGTGGTCTTTTTGATATATGTACCATTTTTTTCCCTCATTAATATTAGATGTTTAAATTTATATCTTTTTTTTTTTTTTCAAAGCATATCGTTATGGTACAGATCTGATTCCTATGTCAAAAGAAGACAAAGAATCAATGGCGTATAAACTGTCTCTTATACACATCTAGATGTGTATAAGAGACAATACATACACAGGCCTATTTACTGTAATAAGAATGAGAAAAGAATTACCTGACCGTTTTGATGAGGGAATAAACCTCAAATTTTGAAGAACCTTGGATGATTCGTTGTGTGGACGAAAAGCTTATGTTCCAATAAATTTGATTGATAAAAATCATTAAAGGACACTTCAGAAGTTTTTTTGTGGGGGGAAGAGGGGGTCTTAGGAACATTTGGACCCCCTCATAAATTTGAACCCAGATCTGCCCCAGAGAGGTCAAGGACAAAGGTGCCAGCAGCCTACACGTTTCATATATTCGACATAAAACACTGCTTATCATCATCGTTCATAGGCCTAGGCCTATGTATATATACCAAATACTTTTATCCGATACCAGATGATTCTAAAATATATTACCTATTTTCGTCCTTTGGAAAACGATAAAATGTCAAATTTCGGTTGACTTTAGAGTCTTTGGAGCAATTAATGGCTGAACACCACCTAATACTCTTTTGTTTTGCCATGGATTCAACATATAGTCATTGTGTATACAGTGGTGGCACCAGGATATGCCCGACGGAGGGGCTAAAGGCCCCGACGGGGGGCTAGTGGAGCAAATTGAGTCTCACTTGGCAGTGGGGGCCAGGGGGATGCCTAGGGACCCCCCTTGGAAGCCAGGGATATTTGATGAATTATGGCGAGTTTTTATTACTTATTTGATAGGCATCGAGTTACTATAATATGACTTTATGTAGGCTATGCTTTCTAATGTTGAAATCAGCTTCCAAAACCAAAACATTTTAAATAAAGCAAGAAACAAAGAGTATGCAATGTAACCATCTAATTTATTTTCAAATCCTCATTCTTAAAAGTGAAATTCTATATTTTGGAAATTTTGCATGAAATCTGTCAACCACGCTGTCATGGTCGAGGTTGCTTCACCTATTACGATGTATTCCAACCATCATGAGGCTATCTAAATGAGCATTTGTCATAACAGAACGCAAATTATTTTTAATTAGTCTTATTGAATTATTATTACTATTATTACTATTATTATTGTTGTTGTTGTTGTTGTTGTTGTTGTTGTTGTTGTTGTTGTTGTTGTTGTTGTTGGGCGCCACCACTGTGTGTATAGTATGGCAGAGATGTTTTTAAATTTTTAACATATTGAGGGTGCTGTAACCCATGTGCTCCCACAATGCATTTGGACGATTTCATGTTTTAGGCGAAGAGCGCGTTCTTGTGTTGTAGGTTCTTTGGTCAAAGTGTTAATCGCCACAACTTTTGTCATAATAATGCTAGAATTGTTCTTTCAAAATTATTGTGATAAAAGAAGACGACAATTCATATTTTTTTGTGTTTTCCAGACTCAAGAAGGAAAGTTGAAGAAATCTTGGGGCTCGATATATATGAAAAGCAAAGAAAAAGAGTATACACCTCAACTTGTGTCGTCCTACCATCTGAACAATGATGAAGAAACAGAAATAGTAAAGGATGACATAGTAGATGGTTAGCTCATAAGTTTAGTAGTTTTTTGGACAACCTCAGTCTATACTGTGGTCTTTTTGATATATGTACCATTTTTTTCCCTCATTAATATTAGATGTTTAAATTTATATCTTTTTTTTTTTTTTCAAAGCATATCGTTATGGTACAGATCTGATTCCTATGTCAAAAGAAGACAAAGAATCAATGACGTATAAATCACCTGGAAAATCTCTTCAAACACTTGGCTTTACTAAAGAAGAGAATGTGAGTTTTCTGTTTTAAAAGTTTATTGAAGATCTTGATGAAATGGTGTAGCTGTGTTAGTCTGCGATAGAACACTATAAGAAATGACAAATATCAGCAATTTGATACTGACTGTGACTATGTCTATCATGTCTCTATTTAAAATAGAGAATTTGGGATATCTCTATTTGGAGCTGAGATATCTTTTTATTAATAGACATATCTTGAAATATCTGTTTATAGAGATGTCCAGTTAAAACTATTTAAAACTAAAATATCTGTATTTAAAACTAAAGAGTGAGATACTCCTAGTAATGTGAAGCACTTAGAGGCATTGTGCATGAAGCGCTATATAAGAGCGACATATTATTTTATTATTATTTGCAATTAAATGACAATTCATCTCACCATACTGTGTTATTATAGATGTTAATTATTCCATTTGTACAGTCTCCTGTTGAAGTCCACTGTGTGAACGATAGCTAGATAGTTAGTATTTAAAATGCAGAGATTTGTCATTTATATTTAAGATCTGTTATTAAGTAGTGATAAAAGAAAGAAATTTCTTTGATAATTGAATTGTATATTTAAGTAGATTATTAGGACTATTATTAATTTTTTCAATTCAATTTAAATTTATTCAGTTTTTGATTGGCTGCAAAATAGGTTGCTGAATTACATCAACTTTACAATTTAAAAAAGGAAGAGGTGGGGGTGAGGTCAGAAAAACATTCATTTTTACCATGATGATGTCATCAAAGTGAAAAATAAATGACACATTCCCCTACACCTACAAAACAAAACAGGGGTGTCAGCAAGGACTGTACATTATTGCCATTACCACTGATGACGCACGTTGCATGAATGGTGCGGTTGGTTAAGCATGTGCTCTAAAGAACATAAGGACGTGGGTTCGAATCGCGTATAGATATCCAATATTTTTTTTCAAAATTTAAAGAATTTATTTTATTTATTTTAACGTGTTTTTTTTTTGTACAAATAAACATTTGATTTATTTAAAAATTCCTGTCTTCTTAGCTCTTCCAAAAAACCAAATATAATAATTTGTGTGAGCAGTCGCTCCAGTTATGTATTCAGATGGCAATATGACGACGTCACAATGTCCGATCAGCCGTAATGATCTATAAAATCATATCATGTTCTTTTAGAATATGTAATAAACATTGGGGGGGGGGGGGCCACCTTTCATCCTAAGGAGCTATAACTGATGGCAATGTGATGATGTCACAATGTCTAATTATCCTTTATGATCTATAAAATCATATCTACAACTGCGCTTATACTTATTTGAACGTATCTTGCTTTTTTTTGACGATTATCTCCAACCTTCGAGCATGTTATAGCTTAGACAATTTCCTTTCACAATGTTTCAACCATTTTTCACTTTGGTGACGTCATCATGGTAAAAATGAATATTTTTTGTATCATATTGTATTTTTATGGTGACCATGTTTTTGGTGTTTGAGACACTGTTGGGTCTTGAATAAATAAAATAAATAAATAGCAGAGATCAATACGATACGACCTCTTCTTATAAACATTAGATGGCAAATACAATATCCCTGAAGCGATACATTTTATAAATAAATAATTATATTTTAGAGGTAAATTCTATAAACAGTCTTGCAGTAAAGCTGCAAGGTTGATTGTTTATATCTTCTATTTCTCATCTTACTAATAACAATAATATCAATCTATGATTCTGTTTTAACCACTAAGGTAAAACAAAGTATGCGAGTTGGCACCAGCGTCTATTGTTTTGTCGCAGACCCTGGAGATCCTCATGCTGCCGTTGCATTTTCTGGAATGGTAAATGCATTGTATGAAACCAAAACTGTCATCATTGTGAGACGTTGTTATAGTGCAAGAAGTATGCCACAAATTGGATACATGGCACCACACATCAAAGCAAACTATGAGGTATGTGAGGCAATACACAGGTCAAAGTAAACTGAGTTCGCCCACTATACAATAATTCCATTAATTTAAATAGTGTCACAGGTAAACAAGTCTATTCCTTTTAAAGGACATCATGTCGATGGATGCTATTGTATTTCCTTATGTTTTTAATGATGGTGGGTGACACTGTTGCTGTTAGTAGTAAATTCTTTACATTGGAACCAAATGAAAATTCTTTGTTACAAATTAAGCTTGATTTTGACATTACTTAAATAAGTTTCAAGCTTGGCAGAATGCAAGATGATGATAATGTGAGGTGCCTATTAATTTGGTACCTGTGTAATGGCGTCATTTAGCATGTATTCAGCCAAGGATTCTAGACATTTTACAAACAGAATTGAATTGTGTATACCCACAGTTCACCATATCACCCAGCAAGCAACATGTAGGCTGAGTGAGCTGTGCAAACAGTGAAAAAAGGGCTGAACAAAACTGTGGTGACTCGGAATCAAGGTTGTACCGATTCCTAGCCAAATGTAGACTAGCACCACAGAAAACGACTGGACAGTCACTTGCAGAATTGCTTATGAAAAGGTGTCCAATGTCGCGTCTTATAAACCTTGTTTACGCAGTATGGGAAAACAACGTACTAAACAAACAGGTGAACGATGAACGATCATTCTATGAGGGAGGTGTTATGTTCATAATCTTTGGTGGGAAGCTAAAATAGTTACCAGGTGTACTCTATCACATGTTAATTCCAATTTCCTTCAGTTTGCATATGGAGGAGGTTCGAGGATGGCGTTCGCACATAGACCATATTTGCAAACGTTTTTGCAGGCGAGAATGTTAGTAAACCATGTTTGGAAATAGAAGCTCCGATCAGCATACCAGTAAACAATCATCTCATCCCCTAAGAACCCAAATACTCAGTGCGATCAGCATACAAGTTGTTTAACAATCATCTCATCCCCTAAGAACCCAAATACTCAGTCCAGAACTAACACCTGTTCCCAATAATACACCTAATGAAGACTATCAACCAAAACCTCGCAGGTCAGGAAGGATCTGTGTACCTGACAGATTGAATTTATGAATTATTAAGTTTTTTTATGTTTTGTAATCTGTCTTTTGTTTGACTTTGCAATTGTTTTAAATGAACATTGACCTAGGTTTTTGTATATGTTTTCCTTCATTATCCTACCCAAAGGAGCGAAGCTCCAGGGAGGCTATGCTGCCCTGATTTGAAAAAAAAGCATTATCTGCAAAATCCAAGTTTTGAGGAAATGAACACAACACGTTTGGTTTTAGCCAAAGAAAAGTACAAATGATTTTCAATTCTTTCAAGTATATTTTCAAAATGTATACCATTAAAAAAATTGTCATACACTTTTCACTGATTTTTTTTAATTTTGGGGGAGGGGTAGGGGGGCAGGGTCAAAATACAGATAATGCCTTTTTCTGGATTATGTGTTCATATAGATAGGTAGGAATTAATAATTTAACACTTGGCATTACAGTAGAACCTCATTTTTACGTACCCCAGTTATACGAACCCTCGGTTTTATGTACGCCTTTTATCGACGATGGCGTCATAAAAAACCCCGAAACTATTCAAAACAAACGGCCCTTTTTAGAGCAACCATAAGTAAAATGACCATAACAATAAACTATAGCAATAAACAAACCATAATGCAACATATTTTCATTAAAACAGCAACGTTGATTGGGTCTAATTCCGGGTTGTTATAATCTGAAACCATGTGAACTGAGTGAGATAATCAAGATAATAGCTTTCCTCCTTAGCTTCTCGTCAAATTTTTTACACGAAGCTGATAGGCATAGTACACGCAGTACATGAACGCTAATTGGTTGGCTCGCCCAGTGCAGTGCACATGGTTTTAGTTTGTCTCAGCAGGCCCAGACAACGCCACAGCTCTGTTGTTTAGAATAGCAATGAAGGGAAATTCCCAAGTTATACCTTTGTCGTAAAGGTAATCTTACAATATTTTCATGTTCTTTAGTTAAATAAAAGATATAAAGTGATGAATTAATACACTAGACACATGGTTTTATTCGTAGGCCTAGAGAGGCTAGGTCTAGCCTAGGTAACATCATTCGTTCATAACATATGTTTATTGAGTGTTACGTATATGTATAAGGTACAAATTTAAACCCAACCTCAATTTTACGAATCCCCTGATTTACGTACGCCCTCCGGTCCCGTACCATACGTAAAATCGAGGTTCTACTGTATGTGCAATAATGTTTAAATATATTGATGAATTTTAAATTAGTGCATGAATATTGTAAATGTATGTCACTGCAATTTGAAATAAAAGAATTTTTGATAAATATATATATTTTATGTAAAAATAAAATTAATATTTTAAAATTGTACACGCATTGAAATCTTTAAAGTCAGGCTCCGGAGGAAAAAAAATTTTTGATATGTTGTAGAACTGATTTTTCTAAGACAGAAAAAAGTTGTTTGACGAAAAACTGGGGAACGGTGAATGAAATACAGATTTTTTAATATTTAAAAACTGGGGGAAAAGGGGCGTAACTGCCAATTTTTACACCTTATCAAATTTTTTTTTTTCTCCGGAGCCCGACTTTAATTCATTAATGTAATATTTAATAAATGTTTTGTAAGTAAGGTATAAAAAAGTAAACCGATCAAGAACAAACTAGAAGGAAAAGGTTTCATTCATAGTGTGTCGGTGGAGTTTGGGTGGGTTAGCTTGCTGTTGGGGGGGGGGGAGGGGGGAGGGTGGGGTTGGGGGGGGGGTTTATGCAAGGTTGGAGGTAAATTGACAAGTTATCCATATTTTAGGACATGTTCAACCGCTATGTTTCTAATCAGATGCCACAAAAACCTATTTCAGTTATCTTTATAATCACAATTATCATCCTTATTTATCGTTGTTATGGTCATCGGATAATAATGCTACTTTTATTCCTAAATTTTCATGAACTTTGCAGGCACTAATAACATATTTAAACACCACTTTTATATTATAAAACAATTCAAAATAATTATTTTTATATGTAAACGTGAAAACCAAGGATACATCATAATGTACGGTATCAAATTATTATTATAATTATTATTATTTATATAGCTCAAGAATTGTTAATAAATGAAGTTTTTATTAATTTAGCTGAAAAATCAAATAGTAATACACATTAAATAAAACAATTAAAAATATTTACATCAAATTAAAAATGCATAGAATTTCGCAATTAATTGTGCATAGTTTATTATTCAGCATTCGTTATTAGAAAAACAATGTATATAATGCTTTTTTTCAAGTTAATCCTCAGAATAAAGCTAAAACAAACTATTAAAGCATTATCTTAATGAAATCTAATTAATATTCATCACACTGGCACCTGATTGGATAACTGCTTCCTGCCAGTGTGTGAAGTCAACCGTTTAATGTTGTACTGAGTGGTGTTTAGTAGTTAATGCCTTATTCCAATTAGTGGTATGTGTAGATAATGCCCATTTTAAAAAATAAATATCATATTTTTGGCTTTCTAGTGAATTAAGGTGATAGATTATACCATCAGGAGTCATGTAAGACAAAAATCTCAATTTTGAAAAAAAAATGTAGTTAATGCCTTTTTCCGAATCAGAGCAGAATTGTTTTTAGCCATGTTCTTCTTCATGCTGTTGGACGTTGTCGTTGGCTAAATTGATTGTTACCACGATAACTAAAATTTTGTAAGTCATATGATTTCAAACTTGGCAGAATGCAAGATGGTAACAGGAAGACGGAGCCTATTGTTTTTGGTACATGTGTGAATATGCTAATTGCTCATTTACATAATTAATATTTCACTCATCAGGAAATTTACAATAAATACCATCATATTTCCCATAAAAAAAATCCTATTTTAATTGAAACTGTAATATGTCATGCTTTTACATTGCAGAAAACAGTGATTCAATTTAATTTTGAAATGAAACTTTCCTTCATATTTCTTTTATTAATAAACTATTAATAATTATCATATTTAATGCAATTTAGGCATTTTAAACTAGTCGCGCATCTAGTAAACTAGATGGCGATGCAAGTTGTGGCGCGGTAAAAAAACTAACCATCGATCATATTGTGATATGGAAAATTCATACAGTGTACTTTGCCAGCCTAAGAAAACATCATCAGTTCATCATCAGTTCCTTAACCTGTTAACTAGCTGTCAGGTCGTGGGAGCACCTCAGATGCAACTTTCACAATTTCCATCCATTTTTTTCTGTTTTCAGTTGCCCTTCCAACTTCCACAGCACTCATTTGTGTCCATTCGGTGATGTTATTTATCCAGTTTTTCCTTGGTCTTCCTTTGCTTCCGTTTCCATTTACATAGCCCTGCAAGATGGAATTGCTCAAGGTGCCGCTCTGCCTGTGGATATGTCCAAACCATTCAAGTTTTTTTGTCATCACTATTGTTAGCAAATTGCTTTCATTTCAAATGCTTGAATTTTTATTTCAGTTGCTGCCATCAGGGTCCATGATTCTGACCCATAGAGAACTGTTGATATTACAATTGCTCTGAGTAAGTGGTTTATTTTACCATCTTTCAATATTGTGTTTAATTTAGAGAGTGCGCTTGCAGCGATTGCTAAGCGGCTTCTGATCTCTGTTTCGAATCTTCCATCTTCTGTAATGATGGAGCCCAAATATTTGAAGGCCTTGAGTTCATCAAGCTTCCTACCCTGTACTGATATGCTCATGAAAACCCCATCTCCAGTAACTGTATTTTGACGCCTATTTTGGTCTTTTGTTGTCATAACTTAGCGAACCTCAAATTTGAAATTCTTTCGCCTCCAGTGGAGAGTGATTGTGTATATCCTTCAAGTGCGTTCGTGATAATCTGCTCTTAAAACAAGTTAAAGAGGCATGATGACAATAGACAGCCTTGTCTTACACCAACTGTCATTGGAAACCAGTCACTAAGGGCTGTGTTGACCAAAACTGCACTTCTTGAATCATGATAAAGAGATTAAATTACAGATACAAAACTATTGTCAATGTTGAATTTTCTCATAATTTTCCTGATTGCCTGCTGCCAAACCCTATCTATCACCCCCTAAAGAGATCCCTACAATATATAAGTCGACAATTATTATTATTATTATGATCAAAAGCTTTTTTAGGTTAATGAAGTTGCGGTATACTTCCATTTGTTCAGCCATTTTCTCGTAGATAATACGAAAATAAAAAATGTTTTCAGTGATGCTTTTTCCACTTGTAAAGCTGGCCTGATCTTCTGCTAGAAATGGTTCCACTTATGATGAGTCTTTTCAGCACAATTCTGAGTATAATCTTTCTTGCTTGACTTATTGACTTACTGTCCGATAGTTGCTATAATATAAAGCCCAGAGACCAGAGCAACTCGGGTCCCAGGCTATAGCTTGGCCGCATCAAGCAAACCAAGTCACCCAAACTGTTTGGAGAACTTAAGATGGAAGCAGATCGACTCGGTCCCAAGTCAACTATGGTAGGCCCAAAGTCAACTTGGGCCCAATTTACTGTGCATTTACTAAACACCGGTATTTACCATAAGAGATTTGAATGCAAAGACGAACTATGCCAAAATTAAAGTGTTTGAAATTGAGTTCTGGGTCGAGTTGACCAGCATAGGTCATGAAGGAATATACAGTTAATAATAATAAAGTTAATTGTAAGCTTGACAGACTGATCAAAACATTATGATACTTCTGCACTTTACGAGCTGTCTCTTATACACATCTAGATGTGTATAAGAGACAGACAATAATCCTCTTTTGCACAAAAGAAATTATTAATTTGGTAGATAATGAGGCGAAATCCGATCGTATTCTTATTTTATATACAAATCGTTTCATAACATTCACATTCTGTACAAAGATATATTGCATAAATAAATAATGATATAACAATAATTATTATCATGATTAGCCCATGTTGTTTACCACACATAAATAATAAATGCAAACAATACCAATGTTATGTAGTAAAGTTATTATAAACAGTTCTCGGAACACGTTGGCTTACAGGCCATATACTATTATTAAGTGCTGAAGCTAAATCCTTAATACCGCATAATAATGTACAATAACAACCCAATTTGGGATTAGACTTATTTTGTTTATATCAGCACTTCCCCCACAAATCTATTGACGTATAGTACAATCTACTTTATCTTCCGGCATAACATTAATACGGCGTCTTTTTCTGTTTTGTTTTTTAATAGTTGGTACTCTGTCTTTGTTCTTTCAGTTCATGTGTTAGGTTACCGTACGTACGATTTATGTACAATAT